TGCATGTGATATTAATGATATTGTTTGATAATTTCCACACTCTGTTGGGTCACCTTTCTTTGGAATGGGAACAAATATCGATCTTTTCCAGTCAGTGGGCCAGCTGGCTGTTCTCCAGGTTTCTTGGCACAACTTAGTGAGCACATCCAGGGCAGTGCCTGTCTGTTGAAATATGTCAATTAGTATGCCATCAACTCCTGGAGCCTTTTTTTTGTGTGAATTCCTTCAGAGCAATTTGAACTTTCTCCTTCATCACTATAGGCTCTTGCTCATATGTCACTTCATGAAATTCTTTTGTGTCAGCCAATTCCTTCTGATACAGTGACTGTGTATTCCTTCCATTTCTCTTGATGTTGATTAGTTTTATAAAATATAAACAAATAGGGGAACACTACGATGAATTGGAATGATTGTATGAAACACAAATGTGAATGAAGAATAGTGTGAAACACAAAGTATGCAAACTTTGTAAGCAAACCAATATAATTTTTTTATTCATTAAAAAAAATACTACCTTGTGTATTTTATGCCTAAATGTCCAGGCAGAATCCACCAAGCTGTCCCATAAAATGATGTGGTATGAGTACAAGCCTGGTAAACATGATGACTGTTATATATCTTTTAAAACCAGTCACAATTTATATTACTTTGCTGGAGAAAAATCTCTAACCAGCTACTAGATGAGATGGATTGACATAATGACAGTGGCAATGGGGTCTGGTATGTTAGAGACACTGAAGTTGGCTCAGGATAGGTCAAGTTTCAGAGCCATCAAAGCACAATGCTTTAGGTCTCCATGAGTCGTAGTTGACTTGACAATATATAACAACAACAACAACAACAACTAGAAACACCTTTTAGAGCTGGACAAATCATTAAAAATGACAGAAGAAGAATTGATACCTTCAAATTACGGTGCTGGAGAAGAGTCTTGAGCTTACCGTGGACTGCCAAGAAAACAAATATGTCTGTCTTAGAGATGGTGAAACCAAGTTTCTCTTTGGAAGCTAAGATTTTGAAGCTCTGTCTCATTTACTTTCAGCACGTGGTCAGGAGAGACTAATCCATGGAGAAAGACAGAATTCTCAGAAACATGGAGGGACAATGCAGGAGAGGAAGAACCCAGATGAGGACTGATACAGTAACTAGGACAATGAGGGTTGGTATGTTGGAATTAGTGAGACTGGCTCAGAACAGGGCAGGGTTCAGAGGTGCTGAACTGACGGTCACTATGGGTAGAAGGTGACTTGATGGTACATAACAAGAACAATAACCAATACTATATATTTATCATACTATTTATCTGTATTTCCTCTTGTAGTAATTGCTAATAAAGGGAAATGCTCTCATCCAATTTACAGCATACCTAATGAGATGATTTAGCACAGTTATTGCAACAATGTCAGAGTTGATGGCACAGAATAAGATGGTGCATTGTGGAGATGTGTTCAGAGTTGCTATTAGTCATACTTGACTCAGTGGCATATAACAATAACAACATTATTACTAGCAAAAGGAGCTCTGGTGGCCTAGTGGTAAAAACCTATGCTGCCAACCCAAAGGCACACAGAATACACCAGGTGCTCTGTGGGAGACAGATGGATAGTCAACTCCCAGGTGGTTTACTGCCTTTGAAAACTTGCTGAAGGGTCAGCTATGAGTCCGATTCAACAGCACAAAACAACAACTAATGGAGATTAAATATAAAGAAGATCAACATATATTAAATAAACACAACATTTTTAGTAATTACACAGAGGGCGGGAGGAGGCGTCATTGGGCAAGGTCACCTCGGATAACAGCAAAAGGAGGCGTCTTCCAGGTCAGACCCAGCGAAACCCGGCCAGAGAGGGAGGGAGGAGGC